TCAGGCCAGTAATATCTCAAAGTGTGTCTAAAATTGTCTAAAAGACCTCGAACGATTTGTTTCTGTTTTTGCTAACGATGTGGCTTTAAGAACATAAATATGCAAGGGCGGTATCTGCAAGCAACAAATGGGGAGCAAGCTCTCGCAAACACACGGCCTGCCTCCTCCCATCGCACCCCCGATGGTAGGTATATTATTCAAAGACTTCTTGAAGTGACTGTAACAGACTACATATATTCTTACACTTCTTTTCGCGCCGAATATTAGTGAAAAATCAAAATCAGCATAATGTATTTTTGACTCTTAAGGATATCTCATTTCATGAACTTATGTCTAATGCCGAGAACGACTTATGTTTATATTTCTTAACCAACAAAAACTTTCACCAGGTGAATATATTTTCATAGCATAAGAACAACGTGCTCTTATAAGTAATTTTATCGATGTCTACTAACACAGCAAAATACCGCCACCACATGGTCGTTCTGTGTTTGTTCTTATCACCCTGATCCATTCATCTACGCGGACGAATCACTGCATTCCTCTGAAGAGGCCTTCGCGCATTCAACAATTGTTTTGATTTACACGGTATCATACCTAATCTCCAAGCTTTCTAAAAACAAAAAACTGCCTAATAAGGTAAAAGCCCCTCATTGCTTTTGGGTGAATGTGGTGACTGTCCACCCCATAATGTAATGCATTAAAATACACTTGTGCTGATAAAAGAAGCTGAACATCACCTTAACGCTTCACACGTACAATTTCTTTAACATGCCTCCTTCCCGCTCATCCTTTGGAACCGTGATCACTGAGCTAGGGTCTCTTAACGTTCTGATCATATCAATAGAATGAATTAAGAAAACAAACGGTTGCCAACTGCTAATCTGGAACGGCTCAGAAACCGCGGCCAATAAACCTTCGTTTTTGAGTGGCAGAATCACCATGACGGCAGTTTATCATTGACTTTTTATCTTCATCGCTTTGTGTTTATCGGCTGTATCTTTTATTACAATTTTGATGCA